GTAGAGGGTCCAGGCTTCGTCCGGTTCAGCTCCAGTGGTGGTAACGGCCGTCTCCCTTGCCGTGCATTCGGTGACGAAGTCAGCTAAGGCTTGTCCTTTAATGGATGGCCTCGGATTGATCTCTATCTGGTACTGGCTTAGGAATATCGCCCATTTGATCATCCTTGGAGAGCTGGTTGGGCTCCTCATGAGGGCGCCCAACGGCTGATGTGTGAGGACGTGGACGGGGTGAGCCTGGAAATAGTGCCCCAGCTTCTTCACTGTGTGGACGATGGCCAGCACCGTCTTCTCAATAGGGGAGTACCTGAGCTCGGCCTCTCGCAACGTCTTGCTGACGTAGAATATTGCCTTTTGCACCCCGTCGTCCTCCCTGATGAGAACAGAGCTAATGGCCGACGTGCTCACCCCCAAGTAGAGGAAGAGAGTCTCGCCGGGTTGGGGCTTGGATAGGACGGGTGGGGAGGCGAGATATTGTTTCAGCTCTTCAAAGGCCTGTTGGCACTCCGCCGTCCATTTGAAGCTGGTGGCCTTCCTCATTATTTGAAAAAAGGGGAGAGACTTCTCAGCGGATTTTGAGAGAAAACGGTTCAGGGCCGCAAGGCGTCCCGTCAGCCGTTGTACTTCTTTGATGTTGCGGGGTGGCTCCATATTGATGATGGCTTGTATTTTTTCTGGGTTCACCTCGATGCCCCTTCGACTGACCAGGTACCCCAGAAATTTACCTCCCTGGTTGCCGAAGGTGCACTTCTTTGGGTTGAGCCGGAGGTTGTATCTCTTCATGATCTCAAAGATGCCCCGGAGATCGTCGGCATGAGTTGTGGATTGTTTGCTCTTGACGATCATATCGTCGACGTATGCTTCCATCGTCCGACCTAAGACTGCTCTAAAAATCTGGGCTACCATCCTTGTGTAGGTGGCGCCGGAGTTTTTGAGCCCAAAGGCCATGACGAGGTAGCAAAAAATTCCCTCCGGGGTCATAAAGGCAGTCTTCTCCGCGTCATCTTCGTGCATGGATATCTGGTGGTACCCTCTGAACGCGTCGAGGAACGACATCAACTCGCACCCCGCCGTCTCATCCACCAACTGATCAATGTTGGGGAGAGGGAATGGGTCCATCGGGCACGCCTTGTTCAAGTCAGTGTAGTCAACACACATTCTGAACGTGGGCGGCTTTGGTGCGAGGACGACGTTCGCCAACCACGTGGGGTACTTCACCTCTTTTATGTGCCTGATGGAGAGCAGCATGGCCACCTCGGCCTTGACAAATTCCCTCCTGTCGGCTGAGAGGTAGCGCTTCTTCTGTTTGATGGGGGAGGAGGCCGGGTTCACCGATAGCCGATGTGTGATTACCTTTGGGCTGATGCCCGGCATGTCCTCCGGTCCCCATGCGAAGACGACGGCGTACGCTCTCAGGACAGAGAGGATGTCCCTTCGAATCTGTTGGGGGAGCTGTGTCCCAATCTTCAGCATGCGTTCCGGCCGGGAGACGTCCAACGGAACATCTTCCACGTCTCCGACCGGTTCGGCCTTTGGTGTGTTTTCTTCGGCCGAGGCGGTGGTGATGGTGTCTATCCGCTCCTCGGCTTCATTGATTTTCCTTGTGAGCTTCAGGTAGCAAGCCCTAGCTATCTTCTGGTTCCCTCTGGCGTAGCCGACGCCGTCCTTGGTGGGGAACTTGAGGCATAGATGTCTCATGGAGATGATGGCCTCAAGGTCCTCCAAGGCCGGTCGTCCCCAAATCATGTTGTGGGCGCTGTCCAGGTTGACAACCACGAACTCCATGTCAATCTTCGCCTGACAGGTACCGTCACCGACCACAACGGGAAGCACTATCGTGCCCTCGGCGTCGATAGAGTCCCCGGTGAAGCCGGATAACGGAGTCCGTATCGGCCGGAGCTCGGTCTTCTTCAGCTTCAGCTGTCTGAATGTATCAATGTACATCACATTGACGGAGCTGCCAGTGTCGATGTAGTTGCGGTGAATGATGTTGTTGCCAATCTCGCATTTGATGACGAGGGCGTCCCTGTGGGGCAAGGGGCCGCAGGGGAGGTCTTTGTCGGTGAAGGTGATGGCCTCCATGTGCCGTCGCTTCGGCTGAGGGGGGGCGTGGGACACCTCACCAACGTATAGGGACTGAGCCCATTTTTTCCGTTGGGTAGCCGAGTCCCCCCCTGTGTTCCCGCCGACGATGATGTGAATGTGATGCTTCTTCTGGCGGGGCTCTTCTTCGTCCTCATCTTCACTGAGGGCGCCGATCTCCCTCTTTTTTCCGGAAGATCCTTCCCCCCTTTTGCCAGGGTTAATCCAAGTGTTACTCTTGGGGGCACCCTTGACAAATTGGGAAAGTTCCCCCTGTCGGACGAGGCCGTCGATGTGCCTCTTCAAGGTGGTGCAATCTTCGGTCTTGTGGGATGTCTGGCGGTGGTATTTGCAGTACGTCCCTCCCTTGTGGACCGCAAATATCTCCTCCTCTGACCTGGGGTCCTTCACAATGAGGCCCTGCGCCTCGGCGTGGTCGAGGACGACGCTCACCGGGTGGGTGAGAGGGATGCGTTGTGCCTCCAACTTTGGACGCCATGAACGGTCATCTCTTCGCTGTCCGCCTTGCTCCTGGTGTGCCTTCTTTGGCTGGTGCTGTCCCTTGTTGGCCGGCGGGTGGTGGGGGTTGGACGAGGAGTCCTTCTTTTGTTGCTTCTCCCCACCCTTCTTCTGGTTCAGGAGCTCGTCGGCATCAGCGTGCCTATCTCCGCGTCGGAGCGCCGCGAGGTATGACCGCGGAGGCTCCGTGAACAGGCTCCGGGCGAAGTGGCTCGGCCGGAGTGCTCCGCGGAGGAAGGCCAGGAGGGTGCGTTCATCGGCTCCTTCGCATTCGTCTGCCTCCCTCGTCCAGCGATCGAGGAAGGCTCGGAGCGTCTCCTCCGGCTGTTGTTTGATGGTCAGGAGATGAGCGAAATGCTTCTTTGCGCGCTTCCTCCCTGCAAAGTGGGTGAGGAAGCGCTGAGCAAGGTCCTGCCATGAGTCGATGCTCCCCTCCGGGAGGTTGTTGAACCAATCGTACGTTGGTCCCTCCAAGGTGGATAGGAACCAGCGACACATGTACTCCTCCGAAGCGTTGGTCATCATCATATTGTTCTGATAACGGGTGAAGTGCTCCTGAGGATCAGTGCGGCCGTCATATGGCTTGATTGGATTCCCTTTGTACTTCTCTGGGATGGGAGCGGAGAGCACCCTCGCAGAGAAGGGGGTCCGGGTCCGTATTTGGATGACGGGCTCGTCGCGTCGGTCGGCCAACTCCCTCTCCAAGGCACTGACCTTGTGTAGGAGTGCATCGTAGTTGGGATGCTGGGATGTGTGAGCCGCTGCGCGCCCCGTGGCCTCTCGGGCCTCCATATCAGCGAGGCGCTTCTCCAGGCGGGCGATGATCTCGTCCCTTGGGTCCGTGTTGGCCGCAGCGCCACCCAGAGGGGTCTGGATCCGGGCCGCGTGGGCCAGGTTGATCTGGTGACGCGCGTCATCATCATTCAGCTTTCCTTTGCCTTTGTCTGGTCGGGGCCGATCCGTTGTCCGGGAAACGGACCCGAAGCTTTCCTTTGGTGATCCTGGCTCGCGACCACCCAACCGATCCGCAACCCTTCCCGTAGGTACCCGACGGCTCGCGATGTCACCCAACCTATTGAAGGCCGAGATTTTACCGCGAGGTTGGGCCGGTGTATCCCGGGTAGGAGAGGCAGTATGGGAATGGGTGTCCGCGGCGAGGATGCCTTCGTCGTTGCCGAAGAAGGTGACGCCTTGTGGCCGAGGCGGCGGTGGTGGCACCGTCGCGACTTCTCCAGTCACGGGAGTGTTGTTTTCCCCTGTCTTTGCGACGAGGGCGCTGACGACGTTGGGGTCCTGGAGAATGCTTGCGACGATGGCCGATAGTGCGGCCGGGTTGATCTGGGGGGCAGCAGGGTGAGAAGTCTGCTGGCCCGAAGCGCGATCAGCATTGCGCTTGTCCTCGAGCCCGATGCGGGCGTCTGGGGCAGTCTTGTTGAGCTGGACGCGAAGGTCAGCCGTCGCGTGCTCGATCTCCTGAGCGATCTCATCCTGGTTGATGAGGTCATTGGGGACGTTGTCAGCAACGTTTCCCTGCCCTTCCTGGTTCAGAGGGGCATTCCTACCGGTATTCTTTGACCTAGTTCTTGTCATTCTGTTGCGTCTAGTAGCGACGAGGGGTACTCACTTGATCTGTTCTAAGCTCTCAATGAAAGCACCAAATGATAGAGTATTAATTCTAGAGAGAAGTGAGAGCTAGAGAGAGAAAGTGAGTAATTATATTTCTCAACTTGGAACCCCCTATAATTAGCCCCTTGGGGTCTATTTATAGGTAAAAATGTGGATTTGGGCCCCTAGCCTTGGGCTTAGGAGGCCCATTACAATAATCATGCCTTCTTTGGGCGAATCAGGCCACTAATGGGCTGAGTACAACACTTAGTACAAAAAATGGGAAAATACATTCTGCCCGGACGAAGTCCGGACGAAGCGGTCCATGGACGATGCGGTCCATGGACGATGCGGTCCATGGACGATGCGGTCCATGGACGATGCGGTCCATGGACGATGCGGTCCATGGACGATGCGGTCCATGGACGATGCGGTCCATAGAAATCAGGCGATATCTTCTCTTTTGGGCGTCACGTGCCTTTGGCCGATGCGGGTGTCCCGCTGGTGTCTTTTGGGCCGTTGAGTATGTGGGCCATGGGGTCCAGGCCCATATACTCTATCACTCATTTTAAAATGAGTATTTACCAAAATCAAAAGAGGATAGATAATTTACGAAATGAGTATCGAAATTATATTTTAAAATTAACATTAAACCGATATCAAATGAGCATTTGTAACTTACAAAATACATAAAATATTTTATAATTGAATAACATTAAAGTAAAAAAAAAAGGAAAAGAAAAAAGAAAAAGGAAACAAGTTAAAGCTGGAAAGGAAGAAAAGAAAAAACAAAACAAAAAAAACTTAAGGTGACCGAAGAGGTGAAAGGAAGCTGGCCAAAGTGCCAAACATCTGCACCTCCTCCGTAAGATTCCCAGGACATCAGCACGCAGCCCTAATCTTTACCACTTTTCAAAAATAACTGGTTGTATGATGAGCACCTTACAACCCAAATTAAGAAGCTTTGGGAAGTCTGGTCTAATTGTTGAGATGGATGCTGCAAACATTATTTCCATTGAGAAATACCAAAATGAATTTCTAGCAGATGGCGTTCCTACTTCGGACTGTTCAGGACTTCTCACATGTATATTTGCTCCAGCCTAGGAGTATATATGAAGATGATATTACTTTGTGGTATTAAAAAGGACAGATGCAACATTTTTGGAGATTCTTTATATCAAGCGACGACGTCAGTCTTCCGGCGGTCATATTCCAAGTTCCTTACCGTTAATTCGTTCAATAATTGTCCTATTTCTTTGTCATGACAAGCAAAAGAAGATGGCTGTCACATTTCACAAGAACCGCCGCGTTTTGTCCATACTTCAAGCTAATCATCAGAGTATTCTCTTCATCCTCGTCAAATTGCTTTCAAACTGGGGATGCCAGCATTTACTCGTTCAACAGAGCCATTGATAAACTATTTAAGTGTGGATCGACCGAGTCAGCCTTACAACTGTTCGATGAAATGCCGGAACGTGATGTCATCTCCTGGAACACTGTAATTAATGGGCTCAATCAATCTGGATTTCAGAGGAAATCTCTCTACTTTTACAAGAGAATGATCTCCCAAGGAATAGTTGAGAACTCCTCCACATTCTCCTCTGTTTTGAGTATATGTAACAATGCAGGTTTTTACAGACAAGGGTTTGAGGTGCATTGTAGAGTTATAATCTTTGGGTTGAATGTTAACTTATATATTGCTAGTGCACTTGTTGATCTGTATATGAAAGCGGGTCTTGTAGGTCTTTCTTTGAAGTTGTTTTACGACTTACCAGAAAGAAATTTAGCTATATGGAACGTTGTATTACGCGGAATTAGTGATGTAGGTTGGTCAAAAGAGTTATTAAGTGTTTACACTAATATGAAGTTGGCAAATGTGGAACCTAATGAACTTAGTTTTTGTTATTTGCTTCGCGGTTGTGGTAGTGGGAGACTTCTTCTTCAAGGAAGGCAATTGCATTGTTTTGTTTTGAAGAATGGATGGTTAGTTATGAATGTGTTTATAGCTAATGGTCTGGTTGATTTCTACTCTGCTTGTGGGGTCTTAAGTGATGCCAGGGAATTGTTTCTTGCTATTCCACCACAAGATGTGATATCATGGAATTCCGTGGTTTCTGTCTATGCTTCCAATGGTCTTTTACATGATGCTTTGAAAGTGTTTGGAGAAATGCAATATTTGGGCAAGAGGCCATCAGCACAATCTTTTTTGGGACTTTTAAATGTATCAAGTGTGAGAAAACATATGCTGCTTGGAAAGCAAATTCATTGTTGTGTCTTAAAACTGGGACTTGATTGTGGAAATGTCCTTATTCAGTCTGCATTGATTAATATGTATGGAAAGTGTGGTCACATTGAAGGTTCCGTGTCTTTATTTGAGAATGCACCTGAGTCAACTCTTGAATGTTGCAACTCCTTGATGACTTCCTTACTGCACCACAACGTTATAAAGGATGTATTTGAACTGTTCTATTTTATGCTTGATGAAAGCATTGGATTTGATGATGTAAGTCTGTCTACAGCTCTGAAGGCATTATCACAGTCGGCCTATGTAAGCTTGAATAGCTGTGGTTTGCTTCATTGTTGTGCAATAAAATCAGGGTTTGAATCCGACATTGTAGTTTTGTGCTCCCTGATAGATACATATTCAAAATCTGGTCACATTAAACAGTCTGAGCAAATTTTCAGGCAGGTTCTTTCGCCAAATGACATATGCTTTACTGCTATGATTAACGCATATGCAAGGATAGGGAAAGGAAGTGAGGCACTTACGATGTTCGAGTCCATGATCCAAAAAGGCCTACAACCCGATGAAGTAACATTCTTGTGTGTATTGATTGGATGTAGCCACTCAGGCATGGTGAAAGAGGCAAGAACAGTCTTTGATTCGATGGACACAGTTCATGGAATTCATCCAGACAGACGGCATTTTTCATGCATGGTGGACCTTCTAGGTCGCATAGGCCTGGTAAGTGAGGCAGAAGATTTGATCAATTGTGCAGCGCTTGAGGGAGATTGTGTCATGTGGAGTTCACTCCTACGTAGTTGTCGTACTCATAGAAATGAGCAAGCTGGAAGGAGAGCTGCAGAAAAACTGATGGAACTTAGGCCAGATGACCCTGCTGTTTGGTTTCTAGTCTCAAACTTTTATGCTGAAATTGGGGATTTTGATGCCTCAGCGCAGATTCGGGAGGTTGCAGTAGCCAGGAAGATGAGTAGGCAAATTGGCTATAGTTTAATTGATAAAAGTAGGTCACGTGTATACAGCCCCTGAAAGTTGTTACATTTAGGTGGTATAGCCCCAGAGAAAGGTAATTTCTCCACTTCACATTTCTCCAATTCAGCTCACCTCCGCCGACTTTCTACCTTCTCCTTTTTCTTCTTCACCAGAAATGTCTTTTGCGATTTCCATCAATTGCTTCACCTCACCATCATATCCATTCTGTTCTGGAGCTCTCCTCACCAAGCCGGTGATCATTTTGTGCAATTGAAGAGCTCGAGGAGTTTCTCTGCCTCTCTCAGCCGAACTGGAAGATGAAACCACCTTCGCCGGTTGAATCCATCAATGCCCCACACTTCGTGCCTCTGTCAAGGCAACCGAGCCCTCCATTAACGGCGTTGAACTGCAAATGAGCGCCCACACCCTCTAATCTGAAATGAATTCCCGTTCAGATGTCTTCTATATTCATCCAGGTTAATTTTATTTTCTTTTCTTTTCTTTTCTTTTCTTTTCTTTTCTTTTCTTTTCTTTTCTTTTCTTTTCTTTTCTTTTCTTTTCTTTTCTTTTCTTTTCTTTTCTTTTCTTTTCTTTTCTTTTCTTTTCTTTTCTTTTCTTTTCTTTTCTTTTCTTTTCTTTTCTTTTCTATATTCATCCAGATTCCAGATTAGCTTTCTTTTTAATTTTCCTTAGATATTTGCTTTTTTAATTAATTTTAGTTTTTATGTTGTGTGTAAATTAACCAAACCATGTCCCTCAATCTCAAGTCTGCTACCAATGTAAGCCCTAAAAGAGATTATTCAAACCTGTTTTGTTAGATGTGAATATAACTTCAGCATATAACCTCATCCATAGTAATCTAATACTCCGTATTGTTTACACTCCAAGAGAGTTCAGGTAAGAAGGCTAAGTACAGACTTGAGTCATTTCCCTCAATCCCTAGTACACACATATGTAAATTGTAAAAGGGATTAACCTTGTTTACAAAAAACAACTTGCAGATTAATTTGAAGTTAATACCATCTGTAGTTGGCCTTTTACTTGAGCATGATCCGGTTCTTAAATTTATACTTGCTTTTCAATTGAGCATGAATTTAATTTCACAATGACATCGTTTGTATCAAATTTTCACTCGGAGCACCAATTTTGCAATGAAATTTCAGATTTAGTCATAGTTGATTCATGAATGGTTTGAAAATTGAAATATGGAGTTACTATCTTTTTTTTACTATTTTTTTCATTGCCTTATTGTCTAGGTGCTGCTCTTATGATGTAATTAAACTCTAACTCCAATTGAGCATGAAAAGTGGTTTGAAATATGGACTTATGGAGTTGAAGTTTAATTACATCTTTTAAGTTTTATATGCACGAATGAGTAGATATTTTTCCTTTATCTTGATCAGTATTTAATTTATCTATCCGTGTTATTAATTTTCTTGGAATGGAGTAATTCACCTAATAATCATTTTCTTATGTGTTTGGGTTCTGACGCTCATTATAGTTCAAATACATTTTTCTACAATAGTGTACATGAGTAGTATGATGGCAAAGGATACACTAAAATCTAAGCTATATAAGCCTTCTGTGTAGATTCAAAAATCTCAACTCCCTGTTTAATAAAGAAGATGAGATTTTCATGTTAAAGGATTAGGGGAGAGTAAAAAATGGCTGCATTGCTCAGTAGTAGCTTGAATAATGATGGTGATCAAGGGTCACTTGATATAACTGCTTCTTGAAAATGAATGCAGGCTGCCCTTTCCATCTTGGCATGGGCTCACATGCACCTAAAGAATAGGGCTGTTAACGAGCCGAGCCGAGCCCGAACACCTAAAGCTCGAGTTCGGCTCGATAAGGAATTAATGGTGTTCGGGTTCGAGCTCGAAGCTCGACGAGCTTTACAAATGAGGTTCGTGTTCGGCTCGATAGGCGTTCGATGTTCGAATCGAGCGCTCGATAAGCTCGATAAATATGGTCGAATTTAAAATTTTAGGTGATGCTCGTTAATAGGCTCGTGCTCGAATGATTCGACAAGTATTCGGTTCGTTAATAAACATATTTAAATTCATAAATTCATACTAATTATATTTAAATTTTGATTATATATAAATTATATTTATAATTTCTGGGTGTTCGATAGGCTCGAGTTCGAACCGAGCCGAATACTACTATGTTCGAGCTCGGCTCGATTAATTTTTCGAACTTAAAACTCAGCTCGGGTTCGAGTTCGAAAGCTCGTTAAGCTCGGCTCGTTAGGTTCGAAACCGAGCTCGAGCTCGAATAGTTCGATAAAAGCTCGGTTCGTTAACAGCCCTACTAAAGAACTTCAAATCTGTTGCTGAGAATTACAGGTATGATTATATATAATTCGCATCTAGGAATGTCTCTCTACCGTCTGATATTTGCAAATATTGAATTAAAAGTTTGAATAATGATGGTGATTAAGGGTCACTTGATATAACTGCTTCTTGAAAATGAAATGCAGGCTGCCCTTTCCATCTTGGCATGGGCTCACATGCACCTATAGAACTTCAAATCTGCTGCTGAGAATTACAGGTATGATTATATATAATTCATATATAGGAATGTCTCTCTACCATCTGATATTTGCAAATTTTGAAGTAAAAGTTTAATACAGATCATCTACACAATTCTTGTGAAACATTTGCTATTTCTTGATTTAGTTAGATTGAGTTTTCTATTAAGCTAACTATGTTAATCTCAATTATGTTAGATAATCTCACCCTGATAATTCATAAACAGAGTAATAAGCTTTGATCATATATCATCACACTTATTCATATTTTTTTTTCAATTTCAAACAATAAGTTCCTTAATTGTTTTCATATTGTCTTCAAGTAAATTCTGAAATGGATGTTAGAGTGATTATCTGGAAATTGCATTAGGTTTGTTGGGTTAGAATGTGACTACAGGTAGTTTTTAAGATTTTCACTTTATCTTTACTTAAATACATGGTTGTGATCTCTGTGACCAACAATAGATAGGTAATTTTCAATAGCTGAAACAACCTACATGCATATAACAATATAAATTATGTTTTTAATTTACCTTACAATGCTGTACGAAGAAAAGATATTTGATCACATGGAACTGACGAGCAGGAACTGATCTTCTTTCATCCTTTAAGTTTTAAATTTGAGAAAATAAATATATTGTCAAACTTGATGTTCAAGAGAAAAACTACACATTATGCTCATCAATTCATGTTTTTTTTTTTAAATTAGCCTTGGAAGTTGTTCTTTCTTCCTGATGGTGCAAGAGTGCAACAAATTATTGGAATTTATGTGCAAGTAGTACTTAAATAGAGGTAATGAAAGAGTATTTTGTTATTCTAATTTTAGTTTTCATGTGAAGGTACCACTTTGTCATAGTGTGGATAAGCCAGTGTTTTTGTGGGCAATGATACCTTAATACATGAAATAAATGGTCATCTTCCCTTCACATGTGGTCATGGTTTTATCCTCTTTTTGACAGGTTTTGAGCTACGACATATATAATATGCAGCTTTGGTCTTGCTGCGAACAAGAATAGCTGCAACTTGAGACAGGTAGTCTTTTGACTAGTTTTAGGTCGATTTTAGGCAGTTTAGAGTAAGTCTATAGGCTAATTTCCATCACAATTTTATCGAACTTCAGTTAAGTTGTCTTATATTTGAGTGGTTTTTGTTGTTCTATTGCATTTTCGTGCTGTAAATCGGACTTGAGAGCAGGCATTTTGGGCAGCCACAAAAAAGCACACTCCTAACTATATACATACGGAGTATTATTTTGTCTAGTAATTTACTTCCTTTCCTAATTTGTGTGTATAAATTGTCAGAATGATATTGGGGCTAACTATTTATTAAGAATTTTACACACACACATAGAGATTGAGTTCATATCAGGATGGTCTGATAGGACTCGCCGTCCAGTCAAGTTTCACCGGCATGGAAAATAATAAAGTTAAAATTGTGTAGTTGAGATTTGCGCGGAGGAGAGAGAAATTATAGGAACCACAAATTGATTGATCAAAAGAGAAAGTGATAAAATTTTTAGGGACCAAAAAAAAAATGACGAAATTTTAAGGACGGAGGGAGTATTTGAGAAGGGAAATTAGAGCCATATTTTATCATAATTTGCTATAGTTAGTGTTTGGAAATACCACAGAACTTAATATCTCTAATAATATAACTACATTTAAAAGTTAGAAATCTAATAAAAATGAATACATTCTTCAAAATCTAAACTAACCTATAAGAGCAGAAGTCTAAAATTACTAAAAACACTAGGATTTTATCCCATACCTAAATAGCCCCTCCTCAGCCCGTGTGTTTGCTATATAAATGGAAGATCCTGGATTTTTTTATAGACCCATTAAAGCCAAGCCACATTATTTTGTGTAGAAGGGGTTGAAATTTTTTAATGGTAGAAGTTGGAGTTGAGCTAAACAAAGGATTAGGGAATCTAGATGTGGAGGTGGATGAATAAATAGTGATACTAGTTATTGTGGTCGGCTCAAATATCGATATGGGCTCTACTATGTAAAGGTAGAGAAAATGAAACAACTTAAATTGTTTTTAATTCTTCTATTTTTATACTGAAAGTGTAAAAAGTCTAATGACATGTAGATTAAAGTTTCAATTTTTAGAGTAAATTATTTCTTCTCGACTATGACGAATTGTTTCTGGTTGATTTTATTCCCATCTTATCTCTTTACATTCTTTCATTCACATTAATAACATATGATGAGATGGTTGAAAAACAGCAACTTTAACATCTAAGTGCATGTTTGGCAAGTCTACGCTTTCTAGCTTTTATACTATTTAAAAAGTCTCTAAAAGCTTCTAGTTGTATATTTGACATGATAAATTTTAATAGTTTTCAAAAAATAAAAGATCTTTTTTGAGATGCTACAATGAGTTGTTTCTAAGAAAAGTCTGAGACTTTTAGTATTAATTAGTCCTAACAGCTTGTATACCAAACAAATTTAAATCAAACAATCGGCTTTTTACCAAATAGCTACCATATTTTCCTTTTAAGATCTTTTCAGTCACTAGTATTTAACCTCACTTGAATCTTGAATAGAACTCAGTCCCAAGAATTCATTCTGCCGCTGTGCAGTTGTTCTTAACAAGGCAGCTATTGAGTTATCATAAGAGAAGTGACTCATGTTATGTGTGTCATTTCGTTGACACACGTAAAGTCCCTACTTATGTTTTTCAGTTTGTTTTGTCTACTTCCTGTCCAAACGATGATGCGGCTAAGCGAGCGCTAGGTATAACCTTAAGATGGGGATTGATCCTACCTTCACTTCCGAAGTTCCGGTTCCACCTGCTTGATAGATAGATTTCAAAATGAAACTGCCGGCCCAACTCTCTCAAATAGCGTATGTAACAGTTATAAAAAAGCTCACATAAGTATATTTTTGATACAAATCAGGTTACCTGAATTAGTATGAAGAACAAGTAACGAGAAATGTACAGATCAAATGAGGAGAAAGGAATGAATGTGAAGAAGAAGTTTGTTATTCATTTCATATCCAAAATGATCAATACAATCCGTATATATCTCAATCAGAGTTACAACAAGAAGTCAGCTAACAAACTAACCCCTAACTGACTTGTACACGTGTCCTCTGCTTATTACAACGCCTACACATATACACTATTTATCTCTAATTAAGCTAAGCTGCATCAATTTTCAGCTAGTTGTGTCAAACATACCCGAAGTCCTGGTAAAAAAAACGATCAAAGACGCATATTTTACATTGTTCCTCAAACACATACTTAATCTAGATCATTCAAAAAAAACACCCGGCAATGATCTATGTTTTCTCTCTCTTTATCATAAAATTCCTATGGTAGTGATTTTAAAATCTTATACATTTTAAAATGTGATATGTATATTGTAGGAAGATGAAAGAATAAGAAACAACAAGCTTGTCGAGTCTTTGAATGCTTAATTGAACTATGTACTTTCTGTAAAATTTGGTTTTCCTATACACTACATTGTATTTGCACAATTTGTTTGTGATAAAGAATTTAGTTTACGTAGATTGGGTTAGTTCATTAATTTTAATTCTGAGAGATGATATGATGTGTAGAGAGTTATTGACGTCAAGTTTTTCATTGCATTCTCAACTTTCTGAACTTAATCTGGAACGATGTAGAGAATGGGGAACTAACAAACTCAAAACTACACAAAACTAAGGAAATAATACCTTTGCCGTTACTAACAGGTGGTTGGTCAGGGATGGAGGATTAGGAGAAGGGGGCGGTGGATGCGGAGTCCATGGGAGTTCAGGATGGAGATGTGGGTGATGGTTGGAGGAGGTCTGATGGTGGTGTTGGATGAAGTTCACAGGAAGTGAGGAGCATAATCTAAATTTTCTTCGGCCAGTGACCTATGAGGAGGTTTGGAGTGCCGTGTTTACTATGCACTCAAGCAAATCTCCTGGGCCAGATGGACTTAGTTCGGGTTCCTGCCAATATTTTTGGGATGTAGTGGGTTCGAACATCGTTGGGTACTGTAGGAATGTCTTTGAGTATGACAAGTTACCAAACAGGATAAATCATACTCATCTTGTTCTCATCCCGAAGAAGTAAGGGGGCTCGGTTTTAGAAGAGTTAAACATTTTAATCTTTCCATACTTGGTAAGCAAGTCTGGAGATTATTGATGGAATCTAATACGTTGGTTGCTAGGATCTATAAGGCACAATTTTATCCTAAGGCCTCATTTCGGGAATCAAGTATTGGGAGCAAACCGTCTTTCATATGGAGGAGTATTTGGGAGGCTAAACTGGTTGTCTTGGCATGGTATCAGTGGTGTATTGGGGATGGCAAGTCAGTTCACATATGGGATGATCCATGGCTACCAAGTCTAGAGCAATTGAGAGCACAATCTACTCCAATCCATGGCCTGGAGAACTGTCTGGTGCAGGGACTATTTTACCCGGGGAAGCGCTGCTGGGATACTGATGTGGTGCGGGACCTCTTGGAGCCACGCGACCAGAACTTGGTAGAAAGCATTCCAGTGGGTTGGACGAGTGTACCTGATCGTATTGTGTGGGATTGGGAGGAAAATGGCCAGTTTTCAGTATGAAGTTGTAACATGTTTCTAATGGGGGAATTCGATTCGGAAGGTTGGAAGGGGTGGACTAAAATTTGGATTTTTTATCCCACCTAAAGTTAAAGTTTTCTTCTGGCAGTGCTCGGGTTGCTTACCCACTGCCGATAAACTTCAGGCGAGGAGGGAAAGGCCAGGCCAGTGTGTTTTTTGCAGAGACGAGGGGGAACTACAAGGTATGTTTTTGCAGAATGCAGCAGGGCGAGTGAAGTTTGGCAGCAGGTGGACGGCTTCATCAATATTGAGTTGCAGGCTTCATTTTGGAGTGGGTTGAACAAATTTTCCTATCAAAAAAATGAGGAATGCTTCATTTTAAAATTCCTTTTATTTTATTCTTCACATCCAGGGTTATGCATTGGATCATTAGATAGGAACCCAAAGATAAATAGAGAAACAAAAATGAGCTAATTAAAACATGCATTATAAATGTTTCTAGTTACCGTTCGTACATATGAACTAATAACTAAAAAATACAGTAGGCTTTTTCTTCATCCTCCTCCCATGTTGAAATTATGATCTTTATAATATAATCTTAATATAAGTCAATTCTGAAATGCACAATGTAGGATATTATACACGTGTCCTTGAACTCTTTTTTGTGGCCCATTTGGGATGGGTCGAGGCCTAGCCCGGCCCCTACAACTGCTTGCAAGGATGGCTGCTGATAAGAAGGCCCAGGTATACAATCATTTAGCGAACTAGATTATACATATTGAGGTGATGCTTTTACGGATATCGATATGGAGAACCACTCCTTAATACATCGGGCAATATGATTTTTGTAATGACTTCGAATTGTGTTGAGTCTATGATTCAAACTATTTATCACGACTTCTTAATTTAGAGTGACACAATTTAGTATCTTTACTTCAGTGTTATTCTTACTCTCGCCATAGAAGAAGGTGATAAAGTCAAAGATTACATGTAAAGTAAGATAGATTACAGACTAGCTCATCTAGTGACCTCCTACACTAGATATATTTCTTCGGAATTTCTTAGAATCTTTAAATGTTTTGGTTTGCTAAGTCATGAGCTAAACTTGAAAGTGGAGGTGTTTGTGATGCTTATGAGGAATATAGATCATTCATTTTGATTGTGCAATGGTACATGACTTCTGATGATTAAATTTAGAGCTCATATCATCGAGGCTCTAATGATGCAAAAACAGTCAGATAACTCCGCATGATGTTAGGCTCTCACCCACTTTATAACAAAAACAGTCAGATAAGTGTCATCAGTAGTTAGCTATGCAATGACAACGAATAAGAGCCAAATAAAATCAATGAATATGTTGGCATTTTCCTCCGTTTCCCCATTTTTACGCATTAACAGTTGCATGTTACAGTTTGTGGAGTAACAAACCCAAATGCACGAGTGGAGTAACTAGTTAAACCTAAATCTCTAAAGTGTTCTCAATCTAATTTTAAGCCTAGACATATAAAATTATAAATGAGTGTTTTTGTTTGGTCAAGTGCCTAATTAACCATGCATTTTGATTTCACATTTTTACCAAATCAAAATCTTGGATAGGAGTGTGTCGGTCTAAACTAAACATATGTCGTTTCAATTTGGGTTCTTTAATTTGGGTTCATGTGTAGTATTATTAAAAAAATCTCACTAAAAATATAGAGTTTGAAGAATTTTACAACTTAATTCAAGTACGAGAAGTTTATAACAATAATTTCAACTCACTAACCACTATACAATAACAAGTAACAACCTAATTACCTAATGCTATTAACTTTCCGTTGTGCTTGTAGTAAAATGGTTAAAAAGTTGTGATTTTTTTTGAGAAAAAAGTATTATAGACCCGTTTACTATTTTCAATCCATTACTCAAGCCCGTGGGCCGGTCAGAGACCGGTTCCGGGCCAACCGGCCCATGGCTTGGCCCGGCCCGGACCCGGTGGGAACCCGGGCCGGTTCCGGGCCTGAAGGCAAACCCAAAAAGCCCGCCCAGGACCGGCCCGGAGCCCGGCCCGGGACCGGTCCATGCCTACTCCAGCCTCTGTAGTAAAGAAAAGTATCATAAATGAACACTTTCTTTAAAAAAATAGATCAATTTGGCATTTCAATCTGTTTTTGACTTGTAATAGTTATGGGTGGACCGGTTCCGGTTCGGGCCCGGCCGGGCCTCGGTTCAGAAATGGGAGGCCCGGAACCGGCCCGGGTAATCCCGGGTCCGGGCCGGGCCGCCCGGACCGAGTCCATCCCTAGTAATAGTAAGTTTTTTGTACTTTAAAAAACTGACAATTTGTTAGAGTATTATAAATTAGAAGTCCAATAAGAGAAGCCCTTTCTACAATAGTTTTCAATACAAAGTTTGACTGAAAAATTGAAAATAAAATAATGCATGAAAAAAAGTATGAATATAATTGAAATTTGATAAGAATATAAGAGTGTATAAGAGAATTAGGTTAATCACATAAATATTAGTTATTGGAACATATAAAATGGTGTAGATAGAATATAAATAAATAAAAATTCTTTATATTATATTTAAGATTAAGATTTTTAAGATAAATAGACATAGTTAAGTGTAATCTCAAGTACATTTAGTTAGATTCTATGGTACCCAAAAAGTACCATACCTTTGTCTACTTGGACCAATCAGAATTTTGCAGTTGAATTATTTAAATCTAAATTAAAAATGATTTAATGATTTGGACCAATTATGTGAGTGGTAGGTACGGCACCCCCATTTTTTAAATGGGTACCAGAGTTGTCACCGTACATTTATTAGTTTTTATGCTACTTTGGGTACCATAATTATGAACTTTCTCTTAATTCTTGTATTCGGTAACACATGTTTAGTTTGCAAATGCTTATGATTTTTTGAAATTATTATCTGATGTATTTTTAGACATTACTTTATGACCAAGTAGGGGTGGACACAACATAGTTATGGCCCGATTTGGTTCCCAACCTAAAACCCTACCTTCCCGAATCAGAATTGGAATTTCCGAGTAAATTTAGGTTCTGGCTCCAACCCGATTTTATTCCGGTACCAACGTAGTTTTGATCCTGCGTATAAACATGTATGTGGAGTATCTATTGTTGTTAGGAGGTAGGTGAGTCCAGTAGGATGGATGCTGGTGCCTGGTTTTAGAGAGCATTTTGGGCAATGGGGACTTTTCAGGCGCCAATTTCTATGCATTAGGTGCTCCAGCGAAGTAATAGCATTGTCTCTAAGAGGAAAGAGGACTACGACAATGGCCGGAAGAAGAACATCGTGATAACCATTACTTCACAATAAATCCTTTTATTGAATTAAATATAATCATGATGAGAAATCATCTCATCAGGCCGGCCTGACGGGCTGCCCCGTCCGGCCGAGCCCGTTTGGGCACCTTCCCGGTGGAATTTTTTGATGAAATTTTTTGAGCATGTTCCTCATCAAGTCTAGTTTGTCCATACCAAATTTCAGCTCAAAATTCGATCGGGAAGGTCGTCAAATGATTTTTGCAAGTTAACTGGTCCGGAAAATACATATTCCGGACCAGTTAACTTGCAAAAATCATTTGACGACCTTCCCGATCGAATTTTGAGCTGAAATTTGGCATAGACAAACTAGACTTGATGAGGAACATGCTCAAAAAATTTCATCAAAAAATTCCACCGGGAAGGTGCCCAAACGGGCTCGGCCGGACGGGGCAGCCCGTCAGGCCGGCCTGATGAGATGATTTCTCATCATGATTATATTTAATTCAATAAAAGGATTTATTGTGAAGTAATGGTTATCACGATGTTCTTCTTCCGGCCATTGTCGTAGTCCTCTTTCCTCTTAGAGACAATGCTATTACTTCGCTGGAGCACCTAATGCATAGAAATTGGCGCCTGAAAAGTCCCCATTGCCCAAAATGCTCTCTAAAACCAGGCACCAGCATCCATCCTACTGGACTCACCTACCTCCTAACAACAATAGATACTCCACATACATGTTTATACGCAGGATCAAAACTACGTTGGTACCGGAATAAAATCGGGTTGGAGCCAGAACCTAAATTTACTCGGAAATTCCAATTCTGATTCGGGAAGGTAGGGTTTTAGGTTGGGAACCAAATCGGGCCATAACTATGTTGTGTCCACCCCTACTTGGTCATAAAGTAATGTCTAAAAATACATCAGATAATAATTTCAAAAAATCATAAGCATTTGCAAACTAAACATGTGTTACCGAATACAAGAATTAAGAGAAAGTTCATAATTATGGTACCCAAAGTAGCATAAAAACTAATAAATGTACGGTGACAACTCTGGTACCCATTTAAAAAATGGGGGTGCCGTACCTACCACTCACATAATTGGTCCAAATCATTAAATCATTTTTAATTTAGATTTAAATAATTCAACTGCAAAATTCTGATTGGTCCAAGTAGACAAAGGTATGGTACTTTTTGGGTACCATAGAATCTAACTAAATGTACTTGAGATTACACTTAACTATGTCTATTTATCTTAAAAATCTTAATCTTAAATATAATATAAAGAATTTTTATTTATTTATATTCTATCTACACCATTTTATATGTTCCAATAACTAATATTTATGTGATTAACCTAATTCTCTTATACACTCTTATATTCTTATCAAATTTCAATTATATTCATACTTTTTTTCATGCATTATTTTATTTTCAATTTTTCAGTCAAACTTTGTATTGAAAACTATTGTAGAAAGGGCTTCTCTTATTGGACTTCTAATTTATAATACTCTAACAAATTGTCAGTTTTTTAAAGTACAAAAAACTTACTATTACTAGGGATGGACTCGGTCCGGGCGGCCCGGCCCGGACCCGGGATTACCCGGGCCGGTTCCGGGCCTCCCATTTCTGAACCGAGGCCCGGCCGGGCCCGAACCGGAACCGGTCCACCCATAACTATTACAAGTCAAAAACAGATTGAAATGCCAAATTGATCTATTTTTTTAAAGAAAGTGTTCATTTATGATACTTTTCTTTACTACAGAGGCTGGAGTAGGCATGGACCGGTCCCGGGCCGGGCTCCGGGCCGGTCCTGGGCGGGCTTTTTGGGTTTGCCTTCAGGCCCGGAACCGGCCCGGGTTCCCACCGGGTCCGGGCCGGGCCAAGCCATGGGCCGGTTGGCCCGGAACCGGTCTCTGACCGGCCCACGGGCTTGAGTAATGGATTGAAAATAGTAAACGGGTCTATAATACTTTTTTCTCAAAAAAAATCACAACTTTTTAACCATTTTACTACAAGCACAACGGAAAGTTAATAGCATTAGGTAATTAGGTTGTTACTTGTTATTGTATAGTGGTTAGTGAGTTGAAATTATTGTTATAAACTTCTCGTACTTGAATTAAGTTGTAAAATTCTTCAAACTCTATATTTTTAGTGAGATTTTTTTAATAATACTACACATGAACCCAAATTAAAGAACCCAAATTGAAACGA